CACACCCATGAACTCACAAGGAAACCTAATTAAACTCAGCGGGTCATTAAAACAAACAAACAAAAATAGAAAAGTGGGAAGGAGGCTTGTTAGGGAGAATGGGTCCAGAAAGAGTGGGTGGGGCTAAGCGAGGAAAGAGGGAGAAAGGAAGAGGGGAAGTTGTGTGTGTGTGTGTGTGTGTATGCGCGCGCGGGGGGAGGGGGGGGGAATACTTCTGAGGCCTAAGCCTGTCTCTGGCCAACCAGCTGTAGAATTACTGAGACTGCTTTATCAGCCCTGGCACCAGACTCCATGGAGGCTGCTGATTTCAATAAGCCATGTTGAAGGCACACAGACAACTGAGATTCTCAGCACCATTGTTTCTCAAAGTACAGGTTACGACCCGCCCCCCACTAGGAATTTTCAGAAACTGGAGCCACGATTGCTGGTTGGTGCGGATACTTCACAGCCCCCGAGAAGCGACAGATCATCAACAGTGCCCGTCTCTTGACCACACTGAGAACTGGTGGTCTCACTGCTCACAGAGAACTTCACACAAGCCATCTGATAACTCTCTGTCCGCCTGCAAAGGTGGAGCTCTGCGGTTCACAGCTGAGAAAACTGAGGCTCAGAGAGGTTAGGGGTCCAGAATGTCGTCAGAGCTAGGAAGGGACAATGCTGGGACTTCAGTCTAGCTAGATCCAGACAGTTAATTCTTATTTAACAAACTGTAACACGTTAGCTGTACACACTAAAGGGTCCTACCAACGGCACTGTCCCACAGGCAATGCCATGCTTTGACTATCCAAATCCCCTTCGTCCTGACCTCCTCCCAGCGCTTGTCGGTGCCTCTTCTGACTTGCAGTCATTCATCTCACCACCTCCTCCCTTTCCTTCTCTAACTCGGTTCCCTTCCTCTCTACCTTATAAAACCAGTCATGTTCTAGCGCCCCTTCCCTTACTCTCACCTTCAGCCCAGAAACAGGGACAGCTAGAGAAAGAAATCTCAAGACTGACAACACCTTGGCGCCAGGGCCCAGGAGCACTAGATGGCATCGGGGTCCCAAGTCGGGAACAGCAAGGATGGTGCCGGGGTTATCGTCAGAGGGTTTTCTTGCACGGCTTCTGCACTGCACAGGTTCATCTCCGTGCCCTGCCCATGCATCTTTCTTGACTGATGTTATTAAATCACTGCTACATAATATGGGTCATAATAGGCTACGGATAAGGCCACAGGCCCGGGAGGTTATGAATCTCTGAGCCTCGCGGTAACAAGAGTCTTCAGAAAGCACATGCTGGTGTGTGAGCAGTGCTAGGCAATAATCCTGTATGTCTACAGATACTGATACTCATTTGAGCCCCCAGTCTGGAAAAAGTTAGCAACGCGTGGGTTAGCTCCTTCACGTCGCCGTGATTTACCTTCCCCACCCCCTTGCTGGCAATAACATCACAAAAGATTAAAAAATGGCTGAGAGTTACCGTTCAGAAGACCATTTAATAATATCAGTTTTCCGCCTTGTAGCCCTTGGCAGGATTCCCTTTTCATAGATCACAGTGTGGGCACGGGGCCAGGAGATGGTGGGGGTGACTCACAGGTCACTGCAGTTTATAAGTCAGAATAATAAAAAGGAAGGCAGGTCTGACATCACTGGCAAGGGGAAATTTTTTGGTGTTGTGTTAAGCGAACTAATTACAGCTAGCTCTGAACGCCGTGGGAGGAGGACAGGGCTTTGCTGAACAAAGCCGAGCCTGAAGCAGGGGCAAAACCATCGGCCACAGAAAGTCAAACTACGACACTACCCTAGGAGTCAAAGTGGATTCCACTTGTTTATCCTGAGGTCAAGGGCAAAACTAAAATAAACTCTGGAACAAACGCTGTGTTAACGGGGAGAGGTGCATCAGGACCAAGTACCGAGAAGGCAAACACAACCACACGCACTGGCTGTTAAAGGGCTCCGCTGCGAGCCACATCTCAGCTACACAACCACACGCACTGGCTGTTAAAGGGCTCCGCTGCGAGCCACATCTCAGCTACCGCGAACTGAAAGCAGAGGAAACATTTCCAGATAAGCTCGGCTTTTAAGTTGACTTGGTGGAGAGCGAACACAGCCGCGATTATTATGAGGCCCTGGCTGTGAACGACTGAGAGGCCACCGTCAGCCCACGGGATTGCGCTGTTATTAGTATAGTTTTGGGATTAGTGGAGATGTCAGTCTAATGAATGCAGCTACTATATTTGAGCACATGCCCGAATAAGCTGCGCGTTGATTGAGATCTATCTATTTATAAGCACTTCTGCGTGTTGTGAGAAATCCAGCTCCGTTTCCACAGCCTGGCACCCTCCGTCATTTCACTTTAGGGCCTGCTGGATGAACAAGCAGACAGGAAGTGTGGGCATCCACTGAGCAGATTTTACTCCTCACTCTTGGCCAGCAGAGTTGCCTTATCTAAACAGCAATTCAGATAGACATGGATGCTATAAAAACAACATGGAAAAGAAAACCACACCCTTTTCCTCTGGCTCAGCTACAGCTTAAACTGGCAAAACTAGAACTAGTTGTATAAACTGGGTAAATGGTCCCGAATAGCCCCAGCTAACTGGACCTGTGGGTATGTCATAATCCTTGTTCTCGGCCTGGAAGATAGGCGGATTGCTGCCCGCATTTATCATCATTCGCTTCATATTTCTGTGAGTGGATGGCACCAATAGCACAGCCAACAAAAACAAAGGCAGCATGGGAAGAGTGGTCTGGATACACAATTAAGTCGGTCACTTCCCATAACGCTTGGGGATCTCGCAGCCAGGTGAGGCTTCACCTGATGGAGGACCAAGGGCTCCACCCTTAAACGGGCCAGAATAGTCTATAAGTCTATAGGGCTCTGTAGTTCCGAGCCCTCCTCACCCTCCCCATCCACAGCTCTGCCTCCCAGACTCAGCAGCCGCTCTCTAAGCAACCTCAGGTTTGGCTTTGGGTACTGAAAAGGGGTTATTTTCATGCCTCTGTACATAAGGACCCAGTTACTACACCTCCTCTTTGGGAATCTTTTAATTAGTGATTCTAACAAATCATACACTATTACTATTATCAACTGGACCTTACAGAATTTCTCTTGGAGAACTTTGAGTGAAGAAAGGCAAACTGTCAAGGTTTCCCACTGTTCAAGAGAAAATAAATCAGCTGATTATGGGGAGATCCGGTACAGGCAGCAGGGGAAACTCCACCTTCGGGATGTGTCTACTTCTCTGTCCAGAGTTAGCGACCCTGAGTGTCTTAGAGATATCACAAACCGACGGGACAGGGCTCTGAGAGTGAGAAGTGATGGCCGGGGTATAGTAAGAACTCAGTGACTTGTGGCTGTGGATTCCTATCCTTTCTACTCTTATAGCTGACAAAGCAGAAGAATGATTCTGAAGAAGAGGCATTAATACTAGAAAACCAAAGTTGAAAGTACAAAAATCAAGACATGTGGAGCTACAGCATTTATCTAAGATAGATGAACACAAAACACTGAGACGCTTTGACAATCAATACAGTTGATGAGCTATCCTTATTACAGAAACTGAAACTAAGTAAGAGCTGATCACCACGCCACACTGCTCCCTTTTGCTTGTGGTCTACACCCCCGAAAGGAGACTCTTTTGAGAAAACACCCCATGACGACGGGGAGGCTGTGGGCCAACACATCCATGGAGAAGGCTGCTCCAACCACGGCTCCATCCTGCCTTGAACTCAAAGGAGAATAAACTGAGAACTTCAGCCTTTCACTCGATTTCAGAAACCCTTGTCTTTTGGGGCATTTCTTTCCTAACCATTTTTCTTTTGTGAGCTGGGGTTCCCAGCTGGGCACTGACAAAGAGCTCATTTAAAGCCTTGCTCCACCACCCGTGGTCACCCACAACAACTTTCCCATGTACCCTTACCCATGTATCTGCCCTACTATTCATCCACCCACCCAGTCCTCAGTGGTGTCCCTAAAAGGGTCTCGTAGACCCTAAATCATAACTCCTGTTGCCACCTCACCTTCCTGGAATTTTTCAAAAGTACTGTTGTCTCTTACAGGAGAAACTTTAGAACATACTTTGTGTTTTGCCTGTGAAGGCTGGGATAACAGAAAAGAGAAGCAGATGGCTAAGGGACTAGAGTGCTTGCATCCATAAGCAAATCCATTTACGAAAGAAGTTTTTAAAGACCTTTTAAGTGTTCAGACTACTTTATGGTGATGGATCATGAAACGTTAAATTCCAAAGACCGCTGAAATCAGAGACGCGGAGTAGGAATTCTTTACATCTTATAAATAAGAACATGGACAAACACAAGTGGCAAATGATTTGCACATAGGACCCCAAACTGAGCAACTCAAGTCAGGAGCCTAACAATTCCTCACGTTGACTTTTGTACTCTGAGTATTAAGCCCTGCCGCCGCCTTCAGTATTTGCTCCCACTGACATTACTAAGAAAGCATTTCAGTTTGGCATTTGTTAGATGGCACCACCTATAGCTGTCTTCACCCACAACAAGCTTATGAAGCAACCTCTTTGGGGCTGGCAGTATATTCCATAAAGAGCGAACAGCCTGCTTCCTGGTGGCTAATGATGGAGTTGTAATCTGGGTGTATCATTTCTTTTCTTGCATTTTCTTGGTTTGGAAGTTAAACCACACTCACACTTCCAAATTAGACAAGCCCGTGCCTATGACACAGACACAGAATCTCAACGAGTGTAAATGTCTTCACTGCCAAGTCCACTCTTTTATCATTTTTGGACAGTAATGTAGCCAAGCTAATGACTCCACAAGCTTGTAGTGTCTGAGGGTGCCCCAACCCCCAAACATTTGTACTAAGTTTTTCCAAAGGATGAGGCACTTATGGTAGGCTGAGCAAGAATGATCCCTGTGCTGGCCCCTTGTGTGGGAGGGCCTCAAAAACGCAAACACTTAATTTACCGATAACTAGACAAGAGTACAAACAGCCTTTCTGTTTAATGAACTTCAGAACTGCAAAGATCTGAGAGCATCCCAAAATAAGCCTGTTTGCCAGCAAACAAATTTATTTTAAAAATCAGCATCTTGTGTTTCAGATACTCAGGTACTGAGGAATCCGAGAAGGCAAAGGTGCCTTTGCGCAGCTGTCCCTGGCACAGTCAGTACCGGTTCCGGAGCTGGTTGCTGAGGTCCTGCAGTTCAGCCTCCAGAGCATTCAGAGCTGCCATTTCGTTGGTGAGCTCTCCAGAGACTTCTCCACTTGCCGCATCTGTAAAATTTTGCTGCAATGTAAAACAATATGACCATCAAAAGATGAAAATTTCTTCCAAGCAATCTAGCTATAGCATGGAATCAACACAGCAACACAGCATCCAGTGCTGCATCCAGTGCTGTTGGCATGATGCTACCGCCAACAGTGCAGCCTAGGGCAGTGTTTGCTTAGACCCCAGAAAGGTTCACGACCTCAGGAACTCAAGAGATCTCCAACTTTAGCTCAGTGGTAGAGCATCTGCCTAGAGTGCCCTAGGCCTTGGGTTCAACCTCTTGCTTTGTTCTTCATGGCAACTGCCTTAAATGTTGATTGCTTTTGTCAATGTTATACGATAATGGTATCTGGATGAATGAACATCATTCATCCAAACAAAATTCTATTTCTTGTGCCTGCCTGGTGAGTCAGGAATCGGGCAAAAAGAAAATCAGCTTCAGGATTTTCCAGCCACACATGGGCAGGGAGGAGAGGTAGGCTGCACACATGTTCGTGTGTCTCGCTGTGACATATGATTTACTTTCAACCAAGCTGAGTAGATTTGTAGTGTTGAACAGCACTTCCTAGCAGACTTCCTAGCAGGGTGCTGAGTAGAAAATACATCTTTTAGGCAAAGAACCCAAACACACAACGCATTTCCAATAGGAATCACAGTGCTTACAACTCACGATGGACCTGCATTCCTTCTCACCGAGGTTAGGAGGAGCAGAGAAACTGAGGCTCATAAAGAGTGAAAAATCTGGTGAGCAGCAAATCTCACAGCTCCACCCACAGCCCTCATGACAACCTTGGCGGCGACCTGTGCGACGACAAGGAGCTGAGGACAGAGGGGTCACTCTGCCCTGAGAGGACTGGCCTGAATGACCTGTGAGAGTCTATTTAAATTTCCTACAAATTTACCGTTTCTGTGTTATCTATATTGATAAGACAGTTCTTTGTTTAGTTGGAGGTGGGGGGACTCTCCAATTGTATTTCCCGAAGTCAGAAGACAGACTGGCGCAAACCGAGACTGTTCAAGCTCTAAAGGTTAGCTCCGCTCATTTTCACTTTCTAAAGTGCAATTCACATCACCAAACCCAATTCAAAACTACAAAAGGCATTTTTTGTTCTGATACAAAACGATCACAACATGTTTCAAGGAGATGTGCAGAGACGATCCGCCCTGGCTTTGTAAAAACAGGGGTGACCCCACGCTGACGACCTTGCACCCAACAGTTCTGATGAACTCAGGCCATGCTCACCTTCGCTTTGGATAACAAACCCCGTAAGCTGAGCCGAACTGAAGACAGGGCCTGCACAGCTTCCTGGGGGCTGGACTTGCTCTCACTGCACTTTATAGCCACTGCAAAACAAGCACAGGGGACACACGTAGAGCTGGTCATCTAGGGCTCAGAAGCAGCTGTGTACTGAGCATGTGCAACAGTCAACTTTACAAGTTTCACACCCCTAATCCCTCCTTTTGTCTTCTGCTTGGTGGTACTGGGAACTCACACGCAGGCCTGGGCATGCGGGGCAAGCACTTGTCTACCACGGAGTTACACTCCAGTTATCCTTCATCCTTCTTTAAATAGGCAAACACGGCTAAGGAGAATGTTGAAGAAAATGTGTGTGTTCAGATGAGTTACATTAGGCAGGGATCCCACATATGTATGTACAGTCACATACACATGCATACAAATGTGCACACCAGTGAGTTGGGCAATGAAACAAACCCTAATCGAAAGCAAGGCACACCCAGAGGATCCAAACTGATGCTGCGCGTTTCAGTGTGGCTGTCCACGGTCCCAAGTCACTAAAGAGGACGCATGGTTGCTGATCTCACTGGCCCACAAAGTGACATGCCAGATGCACCAATCTCAAATGCTTGCGCATTTTTATACCCCAATTTTACAGCATTCTGGGAGAACTGGCATCAACAATCCACATGTCTTCATCTAGGCATTGTGACCAAGGCCAGGCACTTGAGCTCCCGGGCCACATCTGGTATCAGCTCGGAGGGAAATCGCTGGTTCCTAGAAACTCTGCCTCCAGCATTCTGGGGAGCCTATTTCTCTAAGATTTATAATTCTGAAGGGAGCAAGCATATGCCTCCCTGGAGGAAGGCTGGCTGCTAACACCTTGTAAGAACAAGTGAAGACCTCCACACTAGTGGTGCCTGGGATCTTTCCATTTCTAAAGATTATGCTCACACGCTGAAGAGAGAAGCTCAAGGGTTAAGAGCACTTGCTCTTCCTCAGGGCCTGGGTTCAATTACCAGACCCAGATAGTGGTTGGCAACCATACGGAACCCAGTTCCAGGAGATCTAATGCCCTCTTACAAGATGCTGCAGGCACTGCACTCACACAATGCACTGACAGACATGCAGAAAAGCATCCATGCACAAAACAATAAACTAAAAGAAATTACATTCAATAAATTCAAAAGCAGATCCTATTTTATAATTACAACATCATAGACCACAGCTGCAAACTGTAAGCAATCGGAAGAAACAACCTATGGCCTGACCAAACAGCTTTACACTAATTAATAATATCTATGGTCAACAGGAAATGGGTTTGATGCATCTATTTCAGAATAATGATCAGACTTCAACAGCCTCATGGTGGTGCACACTGATTATTAACTTTAAGCCCATGTTCAGAGGCCCAGCCAGTCAGACACTGAGGATTGCTTCTCTGGAGGAGGAGCTGCCTCTACACAGCAGAGGTAAGCCATTTGCTTAATGCCCAGGTGTGTATACCAGAAGCACCTGTAGTTCCAGTTCTTTAGTCCTTCATTTTTTTAAAAAAATATTTATTTATTTATTTATTATGTATACAATGTTCTGTCTGTGTCTATGCCTCCAGGCCAGAAGAGGGCACCAGACCCCATTACAGATGGTTGTGAGCCACCATGTGGTTGCTGGGAATTGAACTCAGGACCTTTGGAAAAGCAGACAATGCTCTTAACCTCTGAGCCATCTCTCCAGCCCTAGTCCTTCATTTTTTAAGCCAGGCAGTGGTGGTGCATGACTTTAGTTCTAGCACTCAGGAGGCAGAACCCAGGATCTTTCTGGGCTTGAGGCCAGCCTGGTCTACACAGAGACTAAGTTCCAGGCCAGCCAAGACTACACAGGGAGACCCTATCAAAAAAAAAAAAAGTACTTTTTTCAATTTGAAGAAACAAAAAGGACACATACACACATTCTATTAGTTCCTATCTCACTCCCAGAAGGCATTCAGATGGGGCAGGGGGCACTAGGGGAAGGGAGGAAGAACTGCAGAGACTGGAAATAACCATCCTCCCAATGATGCAAAGAACCAAGGGCAGCACCAGGGCAGAGGTCTCCATACTCCGGGACTGCCTTGTTGTCCTTATCAGCTGAAGCCAATGGCAAAGCTTATCTTTGGCAATCCAACAGGCACCAGGATTTATAAAGTGCTGTATTTCCTTTTCAAAAGGGTGTGTGTGTAGAGGAACAGTGTCTGGGGTGGAGGGAGAAGGAGACAAAGAAGGGAAGGAGCACAAAGGACAATGCAGCAAAGGCAGGGTTAAGAGCTACTGCTATCAATTTGAAGCGTCCATACTCAAGCCTGCTTGCAGAGTGGGAATGCAACACTAACCCCATTTGAGTGGACACCCCGGAGAACAGACACTTGTTCTTCCCCATCAGTCGCCCTGCGGGTGCCAACAACAGTTCAAAACCTGCAGCAAGCTGTCAGAAGCAGGCTTTCTGGAGCACTTCTCTGACCTGCACAGTTAGAGTGGACAGGCCTAAAGCCACGCTTGGTGATTACAGAAACTATCTCTGTCTGACCATCACAGAGCTGGGTGCTCAGAGATGTTCAGAGAGAGCAGGTTAAAGGAAGATTCTTCAGAGTAAACCCCACCCTGTGAAGTACACACAGATATACATCAGTGGAGCTCTCCAGACATAATACCACGTTCACAAAGGCCAAAGGCAAAGACCCAAACCCCTCTGGCATCCTCTACCACAAGGCCATAGAATTGCAGTCATCCCCAAAACAGTCTTGTAATCACCTCGAACTTTCAACCTTCCAGCCAGTAGCTAGGTGGTCCAGGAAACTGGACGTTTATATTCTTCCCGACAAAGGTCTGAAAGGCCATGAGTAGAATTACTAACTACTAAGCCCATCTGAACATCCTGTGACTTCTTTACAGGCCCTCACTTTCTCTTTTGGAATTGCTTATGGACCAGATCCTCTACCTCAGAAGAAACAGGGTGGGGGTGCGAGAGATCTACATGTAAATGACAGGTAAAATACTGTGACGTGTATGACTCTTCCTAGCAGCATAGATAACTATTCTCCCATTCTACCTGCAACCAAACAAAGGCCCAGAGACACTAAGTCGCTGACTCAGCATTACCCGGCAAGCATGAAGTAACAGCAGTCCTGGAGCTTTCGTGCCCTGCTCACTGCTCCTCTCTGGCTCCCGTTTGCTGTCACTCTCTGGGGCAGGAGACCCACAATGGAACTTTATTAATTCATTGGAACTATATTCCCAGGGCACGGCACCCCCGCACTCAATTGCCAATAGAGCAATGCACGGCTGAATTTAGCTGGTACTTTTTGATAATGCAAGAGAGTTTAAACCTGAACTATATTTATCTAACAAACAAATGTATAGAAAAGGTTATCTCCCCTCCAAATTATAGACTCTAAATTTCCCAAAGACAGGTATTATACTTTGATTTTTTTATATATGTGTAAAAATATAAGGAATGGTAAGTACTCCAGAGAGCTGCACGCTTTGAAGATTCTTTCTTGGCACTTCTGTCAGTTAAGGAAATGCTAATGATTTCTCTCAATACAACATAATCAACAAAGACTCTGTGTGAACTAAAGGCTTCTTGGGAGTAAAAATATTTTACACTCTTACGAGTTCTAACTGGGTTCTGTCACTTACTCAAGCAGCATTGGAGCCTCTGTCCTGAGTGTATCTACCACATAACAGATGTTCTAGAAATGCTTCTGAATTAAATACAACCATTTCAATATATTGGAGCAATCAGAAAGTATCCATAATGGAACCTGGTTTTTGAATAACGCTATTTTATAAATGAAGAATGCATTAAAATACGATATGAATATCGAATACCATGTGCGAGTCCTGTGGCTCTCTGAACAACTTCCTTAAACGCTGTAACATCTTTCTCCCAACAACTGGTCTGTGTATCACACTTGTATGCCTTCAAGAGACACTGGAATGCCTACGAAAACAGAAAGAACAACATTCAAAACAACAAGATGAATTCACATTTCAAACGGCTTTCTGGAAGTCATATGGAACCAATTCCAAACTGAAAGCCAGCATTTGTATGGTGAGGCATCTCTGTAATTACCATCAAAGAGGGGGTAGGATGCACATCCAATAGCAATAAACAACTCTGCGAACCAAGGATGTTATCTGGACAGGACAACAGAAAGGCCAGAGTGCAGATTTCCTCCAGCCTCCAAGCTGAGAGACGCAGTAAGAGAACAAGGAAGGCATGAACTGGGTGAAATTATGGGCTGGCTCACAGGTATATAATTTCATAGATGTTTAAAATGCTCTTGTTTCATCTTAAAAATTGCTGCTGGAGGTGTCACAGCCAAGAGTGCTCTTGTTTTCTAAAGAGTACACAACTCAGGGGAAACGAAGGATACAGAGCAGGAGTGTGAGCATGCGTGCATGAGATGTGTGTCCTGTGGGCTGACAAGGCCATGGTAGAAACCAGCTGTGTGGACAGAAGGCGGAGGGGAGAACAGCTAGGAATCCCACAGCTTAGCTGGACCGCAGCTAACTCCAAACCCACGCAAGGAGTTCATCTGACTTGCTGTGATCTTCTGAAAAGAAACACAACACAATGATTCCAGCCCTGGAAACTCTGGGCTCCGCTGGGCCCAATGGAGCGCGATTAGCAGGAGGGGCAGGGTGTCCCCTGCAAAGTGCCATGCATGCACTTGCAATTTCCTGCTCCTGTCTCCTGGGTTCATGTTTTCCCCTTTGCAGCTGCATCTCAGATCTACACCCTGTTTTGTCCTTAACCACTCGCCTGTGGAAAGGGTGCGAGTGAAGGGCACCGGGCACCGGGTGCTGCAGAACAGGGACGCTTCTGCAGGAAACTCATGAAACATAAAAAGACGGATGTTGTAAGTCTTAGCATGCCCATAATTCAAAGCACGTAAGGGGGGATTTGAAGGTTGGAGAGCGGGCTCAGTCAATAAAGTACTTGCCTTGTCAGCACAAGGACCTAAGTTCAATCCCCAGAACCACATGTTTAAAAGGGAAAATAAAAAATAAAAAAAAGACAGACATAGCAGCACACACTTGTAATTCTAGCACGGGGAGGCAGAGACAGGGACCTCTGGGGTTCCCTGGGTAAATTCTCTTGGTAAATTCCAAACCAGTGGAAGAGGAAAGCCTGTATCCAAAAGGTAGATAGTACTTGTTATGGTATGCACATGTACACACACACACACACACACACACACACACGCACTCACACACACTGAATTTAAGCATTAGTTTTGTTTCAGGTTATTGGTTTCATCATTCACTCAAAAAAGAAAAACAAAACAAAACAAAACAAAAAAACAACAACAACAAAAACCAAACCCCAACAAAGAAAAGGCAGAGCTATTATTGTTCCATCTGGGGCAGAGGCCCAGGACAGACGGCCCAGCACTGACCTTCTCGTTCTCTTCAGGCTTGCCACTCTGCCCGTTTCCATGAACCTGGGCATACAGTCTCCAGATTTCTCCATCACTGGTCACTCTTGAGGTCACTCTGCCAAACAACTCCTGCAGCTTGCCTTTGAGGCTGGAGGCAACGTCTCCACTTCGATCGGCCAGACCATTAACCACTGCCCTGACCAGAATTTTAAGGACCTTTAAAAATGCACAGAAGAAAACAGTGAGCCAGCGGCCATCACAGAAGAAAGCAGTGAGCCAGCGGCCATCAAACAGTGACAAAGAGTCAAGGGCTGCGCTCCACCATCAGACACTGAATACTGTGGCCTTATTTGGATATCACTGTTACACGGTTTAAAAGTGAAATAAAAAGCCAAGCCACCCATTCTCTAGATGTTCCCTGCCAGGCTCCTTGGAGGGCTTGTATCTGGAGCGTGTCTCCTCTCACTTGGAGGACACTCTGAAGAGCTGAACTATGCTTTCAACACAGGGAGCTTCAGTGGGGGTTCTCTCTGAAACCCCAGGATACTGCCCCAACACCTACTGGGCAGCTCCAACATCTCACAACCACCTGCACACCTTTAAAAGTGACACAGGCCCCCTTCCTACAGTCTCGAGGTGAAGTCTGCTTGCAGAGTCAGCACGTGAACATCAGCCCACACGCTCCTCTCCCACTTTCCTGCCACAGCAGATTTGATTCCACACCCCGACAAATCCTACGTGCAGCCTCCTCCAGCTCAGTGAAGGACTTACGCTTTCACCTGCACCGTGGTGGTCTACTGCTGCAAATGCCGACGGGTGAGCTGCCAGTGCACTGACGTGCGACCCTCAAAAGGCACCTCTCCTCCCTCCCACTTCTCCACGTCAGCCAATTGGCAACTTTCTAGAATAGCATGTTCTCAAACTGTACCTCAGAGTTTTGAACACTGTTGGTGGATCAAATAGGTTACAGCAGGTTCCATCAGAACATGAAATCTTTGCCTTATTTACATTAAGGTGTGCATCTTAGACAACTTCCCTGGAGACACACAAAGACCACCCTCATCTGGCACTCCTTGAATGGCACACAGAGCCAAAGAACCAGCTTGAGAATACTCTAGACCCCTGCTACTCAGTGTGGTCCATGAGCTGCCAGCACTAGGAACTTGCTGGAAATACAAAGTCCTATATGCAAGTGCTCCACCACCCTGGGGTAATGAGAGTCCACATTCCTAAAACAGCAAGGCATCATTTTCCAGGACCAGTCAAAACAGCCGCACCGAGAGCAGCAGAGCGGTCACCATCCGTGTGCATGAGGGGCTGCCTGGGAAGGCGTCAGGCAGCGGTACTGAGGCTGAGGACGGGTTCTCTACTGACAGTCCCTGCACACACAGGTGCTCCGAACACTGCAGAGCGAAGGTAGACACCACTCACTTTCCACCAAATCTGTCAGGGCAGAGACATGCCCTCAGCACGTGCTGGCTTACTCACCTCCAGTCAGCCCTCCTATCCCTGCTCACTTCCCTACTTCTTAATGTTACTAATAAAGCCATGGGGAAACAGAACCAACCACTGCATCAGCCCTCCACACCCTTCTCCATTTCCGCACCCATTAGGTACACCACGCTTCTGGCTTGACTTCATTAAGTTCTCCCAATAACTTGGAAGCAGTGGTCTGCTGCCACTTTACAAACTAAAGAACAAAAAAGTCAAACAAGGCTTGCAGAAGTAATTGTCAAGGTGACCCAGCAAGTGACTTGTCAGGTTGATGGAGGGGGGTGTCTATCTATGTATATGTGTGTGAGGTCAGAGGTCAACCTCAGGTGTCTTCTAACTGCACTCTGTCTTATTTACTTATTTATGTTTGTTTGTCTTAAAGACTGACTGGTCTGGAGCTCTGCTATGGAGACTGTTGGAAATATTGTTTTAAGGTGTGTGACTGTTGTTTTTGCTGCATTTGTTTAACTCTGTGAAGCTGTGATTCTTTGTCTGTCTAAAACTCCTGATGGTCCTAATAGAGAGCTAAACGGCCAGTAGCGGGGCAGGAGCAGGGACAGGCAGGGCTGCAGGCAGAGTATAAATAGAAGGAGAACGCTGGATGAGGAGAAGGAGCAGGAAAAGGAGGAGAGATGACGCTAGAGGGCAGCCACCCACCCATGGAATAAGAGTGAAAGTAAGATGTACAGAAGTAAGAAAAGGAAAAAGTCCAGAGGCAGAAGGTAGATGGGATAGTTTAAGTTAAAAAGCAGGCAAGAAACAAGCCAAGCTAAGGTCAGGCATTCTTTACTAAGAATAAGCCTCTGAGTCTCTGAGTGTGGTTTATTTGGGATCTGGGTAGTTGGCCCCCAAAAACCCAAGTAAGTAAAACTTTGCACAACAGTAGCCCAGGCTGGCCTCGAGCTCTCACAGAGATCTGCCTGCCATCACACCCAGATTTTTTTTTTAATAGACCTCTCACCACTGTTTCTGTTAGACTGCACAGCTGGCAAACTCTTGAACCTGCTCGCCTCTACCACCAACCCGAGCACGACAGTTACAGATGTGGCCTCCGTGCCTAGCTTTTATGTGGGCGCTGGGAACAGAACTCAGGACCTCAGGCTTGCACAGCAAACACCGTGCCCCTGGAACACTCTCAGCTCTGGGGTTGAGATGGGAACAGTCCAGTGACTAGAGCGTCTCCTAAATGCCCGGTTCATGTGCACATTCAATCCAGCCAGCAATGTGTGCTGCCCTGTGCACTCTGCAGATTAAAAGACTGGAACCTCACCAACGTCACACACACGAGGTGAAATGTGGGTCTGAACTCACAATGCAAGCCTGAATCCTGCTCTCAAATATGTGCCGTGTTAATTAACAAAGCACAGCCCTGCTTTTCTGTTACCGTCTATCATTTCATCGTTCACTGCTAAATCTAGAATCTACCAAGGGGACAGATTTTTGTTTTCTAAGTTACTTGAATTACAATTTCTCCGAAGGCATTAGAGCGCAGATGAAAGAGAAAGGAAATAAGATTCTCATTCTCCCCTGCTAATGTTAGCCTGGGCTTCTTTCTAGTTGTTACTGTGTGTGAGCCTATAATACACCATGTGAACCATTTTATCTTACCGTTGCAATTTAACATTCAATACCAAATTTTTCTATTTTTCCCCAGATGCTCTTACCAGATTCAAACTATTCGCCTGGGCCTGCGGAGTGCAGTCAGACAGGCTATTTCTGTGTGTGGCCTGCTGGTGACAGGGGCATAAATCATACTGAGTACATATCTCTGTACCTACAGATTGTTCATGCTGAAGCTTCCTTTAGGTTAAAATTTCAAAAGTAAAATTGTGGAGTCAAAGGGAATAAACATTTTAGGACTCCAGTAAGTTAGTTATACTCCAAAGGGGCACAGTCAGGTTAGACGCCCATCGGGAATATACAGAGACATTCATTTTACTATATAGAAAGGCAGTAGGTTAGAACCCACCAGTAGTATAAGGAGACATTTGTTTTACTCTCTGTTATCAGCAATGGATGAAAATCTCTGAAAAGTGTTCAATAAAAGGTATTTTTTAAGGTATCATTGAAATTAAACCTCACCATTTCCTTAAACAGTTCCAAATGTTTATGAACTAAATATATTTCCTTTCCAAGAAATTAACATTTTTTCTTAATGCACATTGACCTCATTTTTCCCCCAATGTGAGTTTTATTGTTCATTGTAAACTAACACATGTTGCTAGCTCCTCCAAGTCCCAGCCCCTGACACCATGTGAAAAAGCAGCGAGTTGTGGGCTGAGGAGGTAACCAACAGAAGAGCCGCCAATGAACAGAAGTGCCTAGGGAAGAAGGGAGAGAAGTGACGGTCCAGAGATGGCTGCAAAGTGGGTAAACTTTGCATTCTCTTCTTTCACCTACTACCCACATGCCATATGCCACCAGCATGTGCCAACTACAACACAGAGCAGTGTGAGCCCAGTGCAAGCCAGGGACCACGCGAGCACATCAGGGCTGGGTCAGAGCTGCAGGGAGAGGGGCAGGCAGCCTGGCTCCTCTTCCCTCCCAGATCTTCCAGATTCTAGGGTAAACTGATTGCTCAGATGATGGACATGGGAAAGTATATGTCTGGCAGAGTCAGGAGCTTCCTGAGGAACCAGTCAGCTAGAGGCCCTACTACACAGAAGAAAATTAGTGAGGGGACTGTACTTGGGGATACTCTCCCAGAGAAGGAAAGGGAGAGGGCAAGAAAGAGGCTAAGAAGCATCTGGTGAGGGGAGCAAGAAATTCCAAAACCAGGTGAGGAATCAGCAGTCAACCACGCCTGATGAGGCTGTCAGCTGCCCCTCAGCGGGAGAGCAGGCAGCACTAAATGGCATGGGTTGCCAAGGCCTCAGGCAGACGCCTAACCAGGAGCTGGCCAAAGGGGACAGAGAAGGGCTGGCAGCAGAGCGGAGCTAAGGGTTTTTGATTTGTTTATGTGGCTAAATTACTTACACATACTTGGAAAACAATGCTAACTTTCAATGCTAATGATATTTTCCTGTCTGTACCATGATACATTAAAGGGATAAATCTACTCCCTGGCAATTATAAGGGAAGCTCATTAGCCTTTTTCTCTGAGACTAAGTCTAACAGTCTACACTGAAGAGTTCTTCATTCTGAACACTCTTCACAGGTCTGACGCCCTTCCTGACCTGAGAGCTTGGAACATTTCACCAATGTGTATGTACCCATGCACAATTTTCATCTTGGTATTTAATTTCAGTCTCCAAAAGCCTTCTTTAGACATTCTAACTTGTTCTTCATAGCTTGGTGCCTGTTTCTTAATATTACACATGAACAAATGCATGTGTATTTTATTTTATTTTATTTTAAAATGTGTATATGCGTGCTGGGTGTGCGTGCCTGTGTTCCTGCGCATGCGCGCTCATGAACATGTGCACATGCCACAGTATGCAGAGGAGTTATTTCTCATTTTACACCATGTGGGTCCCAGGGACTGAACTCAGGTGGTCAGCCTTGCTTGCTGGCTCCTTCACCCATTGAATCATCTTGCTGGCCCCACTTGTCTCTCTTTGAAAAGATTTATTATCTTTTTATCAACTCCTATTTTTTCCCTAGTGCTGGCGATTGCACTGAGGGCCACACACATGCCATAAACACACAATCCTCTAGTGGCCCAGCCCTCCTCCTATTTTTAGCAACTCTCTGTCGTTCCTAGGCATTCAAACCTCTGATAG